CCCCGAAACCCCAAAACCCCAAAACCCCAAAACCCCAAAACCCCAAAACCCCATAAGTATAACAAAAGCTGAATAATTTAAAGCAAATATATAATGTCTTTGAAAAATTACAGAATAGGTAAGTTTCGACACATAAGACATCGCTTAAACCTTTAATATCTTTATTCAACTACCAAGCCATTAAAGGCAAGTCTACCAGAGGTGGCACCAGCCTGTATAACCGGCTACAAATGATCTGCATAAAAACCTCTTTCTCTCACGTTACATACTAGATTTTTCCATGTTTCAACTCCTAAAAATATTTCATAGAAATTCTTAGCTTCTTTGCCAAAAATTTTAATGTTTGTATAGGAAAGACAATAGGCCGCGGGACGTTCGGGATCGTCAAACTTGCCTATGATGAAGTCAACAAGAGGAAAGTAGCCATCAAGGTCATGAACTCAAGTCAGTTCAAAACCGGGAAAGAGGTTAAAAGGGTAAAAACCGAAGTCAGAATCTCCAAGATGATGAATCATCCTAACATTATTAAAACTCATGAAGTTTTTGAAGAGAAAGGAAGGATCTTCATTGTCATGGAGTACTGCTCAAAAGGAGACCTGTTTGATTACATTAAACAGAAGAAGAAGCTACCTGAATCAGAATGAAGAATACTCTACAGGCAACTTATTTCAGCCATCTCATATCTTGATAAGTGACAAGTTGTTCATCGAGATATTAAACCTGAAAATCTGCTTTTCGACAAACATTGGAATTTAAAACTAGCTGATTTTGGGCTAGCACATAGCTGTCGGAGATTACAGAAACTCTCAACTGCCTGAGGTAGCCCCTGCTATGCAGCTCCTGAAATTTTAACAGGAAAAGATTATGAAGGTTTGAATGTCGACATCTGGTCATCTGGTATTGTACTCTTCCAAATGCTTTGTGGTGATCTCCCATTCAGCGACAAAAATCCTGATATATTATATCCCAGGATTAGAACTGCTAATGAAATTCTCCCTGATCTGCTTCCACCGTTCCTTTCACTTGACTGTCAACAATTTCTTTTGAATATTCTTGAGACCAATCCTTCCAGGAGGCTCAGATTAAAACAAATCAAAAAGCATCCTTGGCTTTTTCCAAAAGTTAAGGAAGTAAATAAGTGAAAGAGCCGCAACGAGAGCCGCAACCAGAGACGGTACAGAAACTCCAACAACATTAGATCTCTCGCTCGTTCATCCCTCGAAACGAGAGCTCACAGAAGAATCAGACTAGAGCCGATACAACTCAATCCGAGTCCTGCTAGAGACCAGCTTGTTTGTCCAAATATCACCCAGATCGCTACATCTCACAAAAATACACTTGAATTAGACGAAAATTCTTCTCAAAAGTACCTCTCAAACAGACAGATCCAACAAAGTGAGGGTAAAAGGAAGTTTCTCAAGAGTATTGACACTGGCCATCTCGATCAGGGAGGCCATGCCAAGGATCTAAGTTTATCCTATCTCTCTACTACATATAAATCCCCGAAACGTAAGCATTAAACCAATTTTATAACTTAAAAGTTCTCTATAGCCCATGAAGGGAAAAAAATGATCATAAGCCTCAGAATGGACCCAAAAGAGCCAAGAAGGCGCACCCTCGACTCTGACCACCGCTGGATGGTAAGTCTGACCCCTCTTCTAAACTTTGAAATGGTTAACTTCAAAAGATGAGCTCGGTGAAGTTGATAATTTCGGCTCTTTTATCCAATAAAACCTATTTTAATTCATTCATTCTGACATAAGGTTTGTACTCCTTCGTTTCAATGGGTAGAGAATAGCTTCTAAACAGCATTAAATCACAGCATGCAGCACGGAGTTAAGCTGAAGTTTGATTAAATTAAAATTTATTTATTTGTGATAGTCTTCTTAATTGTTAAAACCCAGTTTCTTTTGAGTAAAATTAGGTTACTCACCAAATTAAAAACTCTTTCACAAATTAAGAATAACTTAAAATGCACAAAATAAAATAACGAGTAATAACTGTGCGAAAGGGTGTAAAAACTCAGGTCATATATTATCGTTAGTCCTTCGCTAAACCTTTCTTCCCTTATCTATAATAAACACGATCACTAATTTACGAGATGGATTATTTTTCCCAAGCATATCCTTTACTCAAAAATCCAAGCGCTTAAGTTCCCAACAAGATTAGTGAGGCCGGATTCATACTTTATTGCGCCTTTAAAAAATTTCATAGTTTTTACCAGAGATGGCTTATTAGTAAGAAATATAATCGTTATCCTAGTAATCCGATTGCTCATTGTCAACCAAAGACAGTTAAAATAAATGAATTCTTGCTCTGGTCAAGAAATTTGCGGAGGAGGTCCCTATCGAAATTAATAATAGGACCTCTTAAACCGCTTTTTGCCCTAGTCATAAAACATTGATTTTCCTCTACCTCCCACCCGAAATGAAGATTTAGCTCTTTTTAGCAAAATTAGTGGCATCTAATAGTTAATTTCCGAAAGCATTTTTATTATTAAATGAGCATCCAGCTCTCATCATAAAAACCTGCCTAACTTGTAATAGATCAAAGAATTCCTAAACTCCAAGAGCTCAGCTCAGTTAAGTTCCAAAAAGAGAGAAGGTAACAAGAGGAGATGCATCCCGAAAATAGATTTCAAGGTCGCTAATATCCTGGCCAATCCCAAGCTGAAGCCGTCAGGAAATATCACATTCAGTGCCAAACTGAAACAGTTTGGCTAAATGAGCAAGTTTATTTGAATGAGCAAATTATGAAGTTCTATATACCTAGGGTTAGCCTCGCGCAGCTCCCTGCTTCACCATTAACCATAATTTCTTACATAATATAAGCCTTTTAATAGTAATCCCATTGTCTAGTTTCGATAAAACAGGCCGATTGCCCTCTGCTATAGTCTCGAGCACAGCTTATGCATAAGTTACTAGGTAGAAACCCTATGTAGCTCTCCAGGGTGCTACGATAACGGGGCACTCTCCACTGGAGATATCACGTCCTTTCGCTAACTAATAGACTCATGAGAACCATATCCATCTTTCCTTCCTCAAATTGGAAAAATATAGTAATTTTCGGAAATATCTTATATGTGAAATTGGAAATGTACACGAAAGAGGTAAACTAAGCCTACTTTCACAGAAATATTGAAGGTTCTACTTAAACCAAATCTAACAAATTCCTCATCACAGTGTACCCCAGTTCTAAAGACGGTTTCCATAAGCTGAAGGATTTCTTTGAAACCTAGCATAACTCTTTACCAAATCACCTCTTTAGGAGAAGAGAAGTTTTGAATAAAATTGAATTTATATTTCAACCGAGTGAAGACCCATTGGGGTTTTGGGGTTTTGGGGTTTTGGGGTTTTGGGGTTTTGGGG